CAAAAAGGTTATGGTTGTACGGGCAAATGGAGAAGTCGAAAGTCTTAGCTCAAGTGACGATAAGATGCCACCATTGGAAGATTGTTCTGATGTTGAAGTGGAAGAACCAGTGCATAGTGATTTACTTGTTACAAGGAGAGCCCGAAATATACAGCCTAAGGATGAAGGAGATGAGGAGCAACGTGAGCATATTTTTCACACAAGATGCCACGTGAAGGATAAAGTATGTACGTTGATTATTGATAGTGGGAGTTGTACTAATGTTGCTAGTACTTTATTAGTAGAAAAGTTGAATTTGAAGTGGAAAAAGCATCCTAAACCGTACAAGCTACAATGGCTGAATGACTATAGAGAAGTGAAGGTAAACAAGCAAGTTCGGGTTCCTTTTTCAATTAGCAAGTATGAGGATGAAGTTCTTTGTGATGTGGCACCGATGTATGTTGGTCATATATTGCTTGGCCGACAATGACAGTTTCATAGGAGGGTGTCGCATGATGGGTACAAAAATCATTATTCTTTTGTAATGAACAACCGAAAAGTTGTATTAGCCCCTCTCAAACCTTTGCAAGCTTATGAGGACCAGATTAGGATAGCAAGAGAGTGCAAAATGAAAGAGAAACAACAGTGTGAGTAAGAGGAAAATAGAAAGAGAGCAAGTGAGGTCGAGAGGAAAAAATGAGAGAAAAATGAGCAACATGGAAAGAAAAATAAAAGAATGAGTGTACTTGCTGAAAAACATGAGGTTAAGAATGTAATGATGACAATGCAACAAGTACTTGTACTTATGTAAAAGGATGCTTATTTTTCTACTAACGACCGTAACTCATCTTTGCCTAGTGTTATCATGTCTTTATTGCAGGAATTTGAGGACCTATTTCCTGAGGAGACTCCCTATGGATTACCTCCTCTAAGAGGAATTGAGCATCAAATAGACTTCATACCTGGTTCCGCAATACCAAATCGACCTGCTTATAGAGCTAATCCCAAGGAAACGAAGAAGATACAAAGGCAAGTGGATGAGCTGTTGCAAAAGGGATTTGTAAGGGAGAGTCTCAACCCATGTTCGGTTCCTATTCTCTTAGTCCCAAAGACAGATGGAACATGGCGCATGTGTGTGGATTGCCGAGCTATTAATAAGATAACGGTAAAGTATAGACATCTTATCCCTATATTAGATGATATGCTTGATGAATTGCATAACTCTTAATTGTTTTCTAAAATTGATTTAAAGAATGGCTATTATCAAATTCGCAGGAAAGAGGGAGATGAATGGAAAACTGCATTTAAAACTAAATATAGATTGTATGAGTGGTTAGTAATGTCTTTCGGTTTAACTAATGCACCTAGTACATTCATGAGGTTAATGAACCATGTCTTGCATGCTTTCATGGAAAAATTTGTGGTAGTTTACTTTGATGATATTTTAGTTTATAGCAAAAATTTGGATGAACATGTGAAACACTTGCATGCTGTGTTTAGTGTGTTGAGGGAGCACCAATTGTATGCTAATCTTAAGAAGTGCACGTTTTGCATGGAATCTGTTGTGTTTCTTGGTTTTGTTGTTAGTTCGCAGAGTATTAGTGTTGATGAAGAAAAGGTAAGAGCAATAAGGAACTGGCCTACACCTAAGAATGCAAACGAGGTGAGAAGTTTCCATGGTTTAACAAGTTTTTATCAAAGGTTTGTTAAAGATTTTAGTTCTATTACTGCACCTTTGAATGAACTTGCTAAAAAGAATGTTGTTTTTAAGTGGGATGATGTGCATGATCGAGCTTTCAAAACTTTGAAAAATAAGCTAACTAATGCACCTTTGTTGTATTTGCCTAACTTTGATAAAGCTTTTAAGATAAAATTTGATACATCCGGGATTGGAATATGAGCTGTTTTGATGCAAGATTTCAAACCAATTGCTTATTTTAGTGAAAAACTAAGTGTGGCAGCGTTGAATTATCCTACTTACGACAAGGAGCTTTATACATTAGTGAAAAACTCTTCAAACATGGTAGCATTACTTGTGGCTAAGGAAATTCATCATTCATTCCGATCATGAGAGCTTGAAGTTCTTGAAGACCCAAGGTAAGCTTAATAAAAGACATGCTAAGTGGTGGGAGTTCATAGAAACGTTTCCTTATGTAATCAAATACAAGCATGGGAAGGAAAACGTTGTGGCTGATGCATTGTCTAGGAGGTACATATTACTTAATTCATTGCAAACTAAATTACTTGGTTTTGAATTGCTTAAGGATTTATATGCCAATGATTCTAATTTCAGCCGAGTATGGAATGCATGTGATAAGTGTGTGTTTGGTGATTTTTATAGGCATGAAGGATTTCTATTCAAGAAAGATAAATTATGTGTGCCTATTTGTTCTGTTCAGGAATTGCTTGTTAGGGAAAGTCATGGGGGAGGTTTGATGGGTCACTTTGGTGTTCTAAAGACTTTAGATATATTACGTGAGCATTTTTATTGGCCTAAGATGAAGCATGATGTGCAATCTGTTTGTGATAAGTGCATTACATGTAGGCAAGAAAAATCTAAAGTTAGACCACATGGTTTGTATACCCCTTTACCTATACCTAATCAACCTTGGATTGATATATCTATGGATTTTGTTTTAAGATTACCAAGGACTCAAAGTGGTAAGGATAGCATATTTGTTGTTGTTGATAGGTTTAGTAAAATGGCTCATTATATTGCATGTTCTAAAACAAACGATGCAACACATATTGCTAATTTATTCTTTAAAGAAGTGGTTCGTTTGCATGAATTGTCTAAGACAATTGTTAGTGATAGAGATGTTAAGTTCCTAAGTCATTTTTGACACGCGTTATGGAATAAATTAGGAAAATTGTTATTTTCTACTATTGCACATCCTCACACAGATGGTCAAACTGAAGTAGTTAATAGGACACTCACTACTTTGTTGCGTGCTATCGTTCAAAAGAACTTAAGGCAATGGCAGAAGTGTTTGCCACATATTGAGTTTGCATATAATAGGACTGTTCATTCTACTTCTTCATTTTCTCCTTTTGAAATTGTTTATGGCTTTAATCCTTTAACACATGTGGATATTTTACCTTTGCCTATTAATGAGCATGCTAATCTTGATGGTAAGAAAAAGGCAGATTTTGTGAAAGATTTACATGTCAAAGTTCGGGTCAACATTGAAATGAAGAATGAGCAATATGCTAAGCAAGCCAATAAGGGGCGTTTGAAGGTTGTCTTCCAACCTGGAGATTGGGTTTAGGTGCACATGCGTAAGGAAAGGTTTCCCACACAAAGGAAATCAAAATTGCAGCCTCAAGAAGATGGACCTTTTCAAGTCTTGGAGCGGATCAATGATAATACCTACAAGCTAGATTTGCCAAGCGACTATGGTAATGTTAGTGCAACTTTTAATGTTGCTGATTTATCTTTGTTTGATGTAGGAGATTCGAGGACGAATCCTTTTGAAGAGGAGGGGAATAATGGAGATCGAGGTATTGACCAAGTTGATGTTCCCAAATATTCTCAAGATTCTTTGTAAGGAATTGGTGGTCCAATGACTAGGGCAAAGACAAAAAGGATGAAAGAGGCTTTGCAAGGCTTGATCATGGAAGTGCAATACAAAGAGGTTATACTAGAAGACTTTAAACTAAATTCGAAAATTTCAAAGCTTCACCAAGGATGGTCTATTATCTTTTTTATGCAAGGGGTAGATTCGGAAAATCAAGTTGGATACAAGGATTAATTTAGGAATTAATTTTCGTTTATTTAATCTTGGGCTTTTTTTTATGTTTTAATTATTACTAGATTATTTAATCTTTTATTTATTTAAGGTATCTTTTATTTATTTAAGGTTTATTTAGGCCCAATTCGCTTGTACTTAGCTAGGTTTTCTTTTAGGGTTTCTTGCCTATAAAAAGGACCAGCCATGTTATCTTTTGGAGAACAGATTATTATCAATTGAAGTTTATTTCAGAAAACTATTTACTTTGCCTTCTTGTGTTTTTGATTGAATGCTTGAATCTCGACTTATCAAAGGGAGTGATCAACCTTTGTGGCATCTCAAGATTAGGGTTTTAAGGACTTGGTTTTGTTGGGGTTCTAATTCGATCATCCTCAACACGTTCCTAGCAAACCAACTTGTTCCTATTCCATCATTTGGTCCCGTGTCAATGCTGGACACATATCGTCGATAATCTATTTCCATTGACTATAATTTCTTTTTCGCAATAACTTCTGATCAATGATTTTGGTGTAGGAAGTGACAATTTCAGTCACCATCTTCTTACCGTCCTCTGCCATATTGTCTAGCAATTGACAGGGTCAAATAACTCCCAACTCTACAAAATCACAACAACCTCAATGCCAAACAACCCAAGCAAACACAAATGCACCCTAATCTCAAACAACCAGAAAGAAACCAACCACTATCTTGTAAAAGGAGTCACTGGGAACAACAAAGAAGAGAGAAACCAGAGGAGAGATTGTTGGCCACCGGAAAGAGCAAAGAAATCACATCATCGAAGGAAGCAAAGGGATTGCGTTGCCGGAAAGTCGAGATGAGCAGAGAGGAACTAGAGGAGAAATCGTCGGAATGAGCAGAAGAAAGGGACAAGTTAACTGGAACAAAACCAGCATTCATCAGAAAGGGAGAGGCCGAGAGCAGAAGTTGCCGGAAAGGGAGAAACCAAGAACAGACGTCGCCGGAGATAACAAAGGAGGTCAAGGGTTCGTTGGGCAAGTTCAGACGTCGCCGGAGAGAGAGAAACCATGAACAAAAGGTTCACCGAAATCGCTGGCCGTCGGAAAACAGAAACGTAGAAACGAGTTTTAGGGTTTAGTCTCGCTCTGATACCATGTTTTCAATATTTGCATTTTTCAATTTCTATTTTTATATATTTCTCACCAGTACAGCCTAACAAATATATACACACACTACAATTACATATATACCCTTGACTACTTATATAAATAGTTTCCAACATGAATAATTAGAACAGACAACAAAAATTACCTGTATTGCAAAGAGGCCAGTGTTGTACACTGAATCCTGCACATGATTTAATTGGGTAGAGAGTAACAGACTTTATAAAGTAATTTGAAGCTGAGAGTATTCTGTCAGTGCCTGAAATTTTGGGAACGAGTCAGACATCAGGTAAAAGTAGGCTAACATGCTAAAATCTTGTTCAGCATTTCTCTAGATCTTTAACAAAATGATTGAAAAGTAAATTGAAAAAAACGTAACTCTTGGTACACAAGCTAATAAATAATAAATAGTCATACTAACCTTCCTTTGAAAGGGGGATGGAGCTTGCTATCATCAGATTCCCATTTGCAGATTTATTAGGCAATAACACGAAGGAACTTTTTAAGAAATCAATAAATTTCTGTACGCAAGGAAAACATAAACTCAGGAAAGAGTCTCATTTAAATACACAGCCAAACAGCTGATAAATATGAAAAATCAACAAATTCATTGAAAATTTCACCCATGATATGAAAAGGGAAACACCGCACTAATAGAAAACAATTTTCTTTTTCCTTTTTATTTTATAACAATTCCAAAGTGAAATTCACAAGATGGTTGGAAGAACTTCAGTCTACCTTGGCATCTTCATAGGTTGACATGTAACCAAATGATATTCTAACAGCTCCAGCTGGTTTTCCACGTATTATGTCATTGTCATCCCAGCAAACATGTCCAGCCTGGACTCAAAGGACAACTTATAAGGATGTATTTAATGACTTGATGCCCTTTCAACGGAATTACCAAAAAGATAATATAGAAACTGGCCAGAGGATACCTCTATGTTTGAAAGAAGATCCAAGTGAGACAAGCCAAGATATTTTGCACAAGCACCAGGATTGCAAAAGCATCCTGTCTACACAAAAACATCAAGCAGAAGAACAAAAAAAGTCCTGTCAGAAACCTGCTAAGAGTGTGGTCTGTTCATTAATCCATCTTAACAAGCAGCAACCATTGCATTAGACTTTTGAGTTCAGCACTAAATTAACAATCTGAAATATTGCCAACCTACCTATTGCATCCGAGTTAATATAAAATAAGTATATAAGTTTCATTTTGCAAATCTCATTTATCTATAAGCATCAACCTTTTTACTTTTCTTCTTCCAATAGCTTGGCTTTTTAAGAAAAATAAAGATTAGATCATTAAAAAGAAACGGAAGTACATTTTTTGAGATAAGTACTGATTTAACTATTTGAACAAAATGATAAAGAAGTTATCCATGTTTAATGGCATTTCCCAAATTTACCCGCAACTGAATTCCTGATAGAGAAGCCAACTTTTCAACTTCACGGTAGCCAAACCAAGAGCCATCTGGCCTCTTCAAGTTGAATGTTACAATTGGACCCGATTCATGAGATGAAACCTAGAATATAGGAAAAATACGTAAGTTCTATAACCCCAAAACAAGCTGGCCACAAAAAGAACTGCAACATTTCTTGACTCATCCATAGCCACACAAACCAAACTAATCATTTTTTACACACAATAACATACGGTTTGTAAAAAGTAAATAGCAAAACTTGGCAGGCACAGAACACTTGAATATAATAACACAAATAACTGAACAAATACTTTTGGAAATGGGTTCTAAAAGTCCATAAGATATAAACTTTAAGTAAGAAGATACTTGGAGGACATAAATTTGGAAGAAGAAGAACTGAAACTTTATGAGCCATCAAGATTTACTTCAGCTGACACAAACTACTACCAATATATTATCTCCCAATAAAAGGAAATTGTGGGGAAAAAAAAAAGGCCAAACAGCTCATGACACCGTGTTGAAACCACAAAAAGAAAGCTTCGCATAAAACAAAAAGGGCTTTACTTAATAAGGCAATTCTTAATATTTCTTCCGTTGCAATTGCCACAGTTAAAAATAAACATCAGCATAATGTGTGAATCTTAGAAATATTCATCTACTAAACCACTTTTAGATATAGAACTAACCTTTGAAGACAGCCTTCCATAAATTTTGCAGATAGAAGCTCCATTGTCATGCCTCAAACCTAAGAGCATCTTCCTCACATATATAGCAAGTGATGTTGTATGCCTATAAGTCGAAAAAGTAAAACATGTTTTGAGAAGTGTGCACAAATCTGATTATAAATATTACAATAACATGCAAATTGTTACAGCAAAGAACTTTGCATACCGGCATATTGCAGATACAGTCAAAGAATTGATAAGATTGAACCCATGGTGGATGGATGCTATGCTCAGGAATGAAGCGGTGCCATCTTCAAACAACTCCTCAACACCTTGTCTCCTTTTAACAAAATCAATGTCAGCAATCGAGGCGGCAACTGTACCTGGAAAGTTTTTTTATGGTTAACAGAAGATACCATTTATATCATGTATCATGTACAAGGAAGACATCCAAGCACAAACCTCCACTAAAGTAGGTCTTCTTTAGTAACTTTGCAACATCTGCAGATCACAATAATGGGGAAAACTTATCAGGAAAAAATTTTTTGATATTCATTGAATTATATGAACTTTTTGTATCTCCATATTCTACATATGTAATGGCAGTCTAAACAGGACAGAAGCAATCATGAAGAGAGACAAGTTGAAAATAGTTAATTCATCTTCAACAGAAGATGGTAGAAATACAATTTACCCATTCAACTTGAAAAACAGATCTTGGAAGGAGAAACCAAATGATAAATAAATGGGTTATAAATCTATATTTTAGATTAATATATGGTAACTACATAGAAACTAATGTAGCTAGTAATACTTCTCTCGAAACCAAGGCATTTAAAATTGACCCTGAACACCTTCATACATAAGCACCAACATTTAGATGAAGGACATTATGTCTAGAACAATTCCTCATCAAGCGATGTGAATAATTTGGATATCAGAAGAACTTTTCACCAGATTTTATTGCTTACCATTTCGTATAATGAGAGCACCAAGTCCGGTTGGATAACCAAATATCTTGAAAAAACAACACAAAGGAAAACTATTAATACCTAATGATGGTTATTCAGTTTTCCTCAAATGCATATAGGTCAACCTTATAGAAAGACATGACAACAAAATCAGCAGGATACTTTGACAAATCTGGTGGTTGCGTGACAGACCCTTTAGCAGCATCAACCAAGACCATCCAATGCCCCCTAGATTTAAAAAATAAAAAAAAAGGGGAGGGACACACTGGATCAGTTATAATCAAATATCAGCTGAAGGAGAAGCAAAGTTTCAGCATGCTCAATGAACTGATAAAGTAATTAATCAACAGTAAAAAGTTCATATCAAAAATCACATCCCATAAGAATGTGATAGGAAACCACTCCCAAATTGATAAAAATTGGGATTGGCAGTGATCTTTTTGTGGGCTTAAGTAGAACTCTCCTTGAAAAACCGGCTTGCCAAGGGAGGGTGCGCAAGCGCTTATAAACCACATGCCCACACCTTTTCCCTCTCAATGTGGGATCCTAACAGAATATGACAATTAAGAAATATCTTCAAGTTTGTGTTAGGTGGTTCTTCTTGTTTTCTACAGTAGCCACTCCCGACCCAAAGTTAGATTTAGTTAATCTGAAATCAACCAGCTGAGACTAGAATAAAACAACTAAGGCAGAAAGTGAAACAAAGGCCTAACAACTAAATGCTATGGTATATTTCACGTACTGGCTAGAAGGAGAGTTTTCCAATATTCTTGCTCGGTTCTTCTTCATAACATTCACCAAATCAAGGGTGAACCTTGAACCTGAGAAATTGCACTCCGAGGGAAAGGCAAATAAACTATAAGCATTACCTGCAATAAGATGGAGCAGAAGCTTTAACACCATGATGAAGTCTCAAGGAAATATCAATGCTGGACAGACATGTCTGGCCTTTCCCTCTTACAAAATTATCAAAATATTTGTTATAAAAGCTCAAGTTTCTCCCTAGAAAAAATAGTCTAAATCCTTTTCTTTTTTTCTCTTTTTTTTCTCTCCTTTAGATTATAAATACAATCTAAAAAACATCAGAAGCGGTTATCACATACAAAATACCTAAATTAATCTTAAGATTCACTTCAAAACAGCACCTCTAGGGTCTAAAGAAGATTTTACACAACCCTCAAAGTATTGTACATAAACTCACTTCTGTTTCAGAATCAGTAACCATACAAGCTCAAAACAATCTGGATACCTTACAGGCCTTAAGAAGTAATTAGCAAATATAAAGAAATCAAACATATACAAGTAATATTGGCTGATAAAAAGTTATAAACATTCTAGAAATTACAAATCATATAAGACCCTCAAAAACAATAACTCCAGTCAGAAAAAAATATAGAATGAGTAGAAAGCCTAGGTCTTCTCATGATCTTCAACAAAGATTACTTTTATTAGTTGTCATTCACCAATCTTAACTTACCTGCAGGCTCTATTTTGGCAAACTCAGGTTCATTTCTCCTTTGCACGGGATGCAAAGACACATTCATAGAAGTTTCAGGGCTTCTAGATAATCCATCATGGTCCACAGTCTCTTCAATATCTATTGCAAAGGCAGCAGCTCCATGACTAAGAGCGTATCTAAATATTGTTAAGAATAAACATGACTACAGATTTAGACTCCTGAGTACAAAAACAAGTTGAAATTTCCTAGCTCCATGCTTGTGCAGATATGGTGAAAAAAGATTTTTTTTCACTGAGAAAACATTAAGTATTTTTATCCATTTAATGTGAGATAAGTGACAACAATGGGTAATGAAAGGCAGGATACTCTCTGATCCCAAGTACACTATTATGATTCTCCATCGTGTACATAAAACAGCTCTGTTGGCTCCATGGAAAGGCCTCTCCAATCAGCTTCAAAGCTGCTGTTGCCCCAGAAGTAAATATACATTTGTAGTCCTCTGGAGAGGCATTGCAATAATCAAGGACCTATGTCCACAAAAAATTTAATACATCCTCCAAAACTACAAACAGAAAAAATAAAAAAATAAAAAAATAAAAAAATAACCTACCTCTGTTGATATTTACAAACACTAAAGAGCAAAATTTCTAAGGGTTAATCCCTGGACGTTTGCATTTATCACTTTAAATATTTAAGCATCATCTTTGTACAAATACACAAGTTTACGAAACCAAAATTACAATAAGATAAACAAACAGAATCAATAAAAACAAAAAGGTTTACAGAACCGAATAGAATGAAATCAAGCACATCCTGCATAGAGCATATAGTACCTGTTGGCGTGCTTCCCTTACAATGTCACAAGTTGTCGTACTAAAGTCACTTTGACTGTCTAAACTTGAATTAAAGATACGCAAATGAAAAAAAATAAAACAAACAATAAAATGAACTTGAAGCATGCTGTAGGTTCCCTTTTAGGAAGGCCTACCCCCTATCAAGCTATCGAAGTGAATCATTGTTCTAGTCTTTTAATCCGCTTAAATAACAACTAATTAATCAAAACTGATCTGCATTACTTTTCATGTGCCATATGCCAAGTGCTTTTCATGTGCACCCAGCATTCTTGCTTCTGCTTATCAAAATTATATGCGTCCTAGACCCATTTGAAAACAAATTCAAAATATCCTTTTGTCTTGAGCATCCAACGGCAAAACTAGAACTCACCTAAACAAAGATTTACATAAAACGAAAACCATAATTAAAATTTAACTAACTTATAAAAGCTTTCAACATCATAAACAACAAAACTTTGTAAAAACAGGATACGGGGATTTCCATAAACATTAGTAGTAAGATCTTTGAAGATTGCTTCCATTTGCAACTCAGAGTATAAAGTTGCCCCAGCATGATCCAAGTAAACACTACCTACAATTGCCAATGCAAAACAAAACAATTTCATCAAAATTTAAAAAAAAAAAAATGGAGAAACAAATAATCTAAGAGCTAAAGTTTCAAAATTTCCTGAATTACAAACAAAACTCAACTCAAAACTGGTAACAAAATATATTCTCGACTCATTTTATTAACTTAATTACCCTATCTCTCTCAACAACCAAATAACTATCATATCTTGTGGTTCAATACAGGTTCAACATTGAGAGAAATGCGGGAAAATAATGAAGCTGACCATTCTCCAATCGCTTGAATTCAGTGGCTCTGATTTCGTCAATGGATTTTGGGCCATTTGGGTACCCATAATCTGCACCAAACTCCATAAAAAATTCTTCTTTATCTCCATAATCCATGCTTCGATTCAACGAATAGATTTCTTAAGTGTTTATTTATATGTTCGGTAAAAAAAAAAAAAAAATTCAGAGACTTGGAGAGAGANAAAAAAAAAAAAAAAAAAAAAAATCATTTAGCTACAATAATTTATTATACTATACTCTACTTCTAAGAACCTTATTGAGACTTTTTAAATTATTTAATTATTTTAAAAAATCTCATGTATTTCCAAATTTCTTGTTTCATACTATTCCATATCGAATAGGAATTTAAATCTTTATATTATAATTATAATTCGTATATCAATTCTTGTTAAACTAGAATTATGAATTCATTTGCATGATTGTCTAATGTCTATATTGAAATAGACTAAGAATATTAATTAAGATTCAATAATTGAGGATTTTTACTTTTTAAAGCACCGTAGAGCACAATTTCAATACTGATCTACTTCATTAGCAATGTACCCTTTCATTTACTTTATTTATATAACTAGCATTTCTTCACAATGAAAAAACAAATTTGGAAGGGTAAGGCTCATTGTATCCCCTAATAGGTGTATGATCTTTATTATATTATTAAAAGTTTTTCATATATATAAAATTAAGTTTTACTTTGAAAAAAAAAATTGCAGCCCTCTCCGAAACAAAATCCTGGTTCTGCCCCTGAAAAAAATGGATTACAAAATGAAAGATACATAGAAAAAAAGTAATTTTTTTATTATGTAAAATAAAAATTAAGGTTTGTGTAATAATTGAATATCGTAAATATAGTTTTTATTTGCAATAATAAAGACTCTCACATAAAAAAAAATATCCTATCGAAATGAGGGTTGCCGTATTGAATTAACCCAATAACATTGATAGATACAATCAAGGGCAAATATTTTTCGAAAAAAAGAAATAAAAGAAAATCAATTGAACTCTCTTATTGAAAACAATATTAAAATTAAATATAAATTATTACACAAATAAAGTGATATACTCTTGTCTTTTTCAATTGTACTAGATTGAGTAAACGACATGTTCCCACCCAAAGTTTCGAGAATCTACGTGCGGTTTCATAAATTCCAAATTCACAACTTTAAATCAACAACTGTCATTGATTTTTGGGATCTAATAAGTGCTATTACTAAATTACTCTTGATGGATAAATTACCTTTAACCCCCAATTAGCAGAATTATATGACCATCTTATTTTTAAATTTATTTCAACAACACCCCCTCCTTGAACCAGTCACTTCATCCCCATCTCCAACCACCCAGCCACTGCCGCCACCGCCACCCAGCCACTATCACCATCCAGCCAAATTAATAAAATATAATATGAAGTTTAGTAAATCCAATCAACCCATCATTTCCTAATTTCTTCCCAAATCACAATGGACTCTATGCTGTGCTAACAAACCTCCTATTGTTCTCTCTCTCGACTTGCTGTGATTTTAACGTTTGAATTTTATTCTCTGATACCTCCAATTTCACTGATCTTTCCTCTCCCAAATTCATCTTTAACTCCGCCACCTCCGCATTCCAAGTCTCTGTAGTATGATTCCTGTTATGCACACCATCTGTTCTATGTAAATTCTCTATTAAAAAAGAATTAAAATCTCGCATTTTATTTCTTAAATTATTTGTTCTTCTCGTAAATTTGAGAGTAAGATAGTGGTATTGTTCACAAGGTTAGATTTATTACGATGGCTTTGAGGAAGAAAATATATTTATGGATAAATGTTTTGGGAGGGTTGGGTGGTGGCTTTGGGTGAGGAATTTTGTCAAACAGGTGGTGGGCGGGTTGGCTATGGGAAGGTTGGAAATGACAGGGAATCGCCAGCGACCAGGCAATTACACAACACACTTCAAACAGCAAACCACAGATCAACACCAAAGAAATCTGACGATTTGCAAAGAGTTGGAATGCGGAAAGATGAGTGGAATTGGAGGTATTAGAGAATAAAAGAGAGGGGTTTTGGTGAGGGTGATGTGAGGATTCAGATGGAAGTGTTGGGGGGATTTGGTGGTGTCGGAATCTGGTTAGATCAAGCTTGAACTGGCGGTTGAATGGGTGGAGATGGTTCACGAGAACGGTGCAAATCCGGCCAGAAAAAATTGTATGCTTAACAAGGCTACAACATGAATTCCTTTTTATGGATGAATAATGTAATTTAAAGTTCTCAATTTTTACATGATACCATTTCAGATTTTCATGGTTATGTTGCCATGGAAGTGTTCTTTTCCTTTTTAATTATTTTATATATATGTTTTTATAGATATAGTGTTAATATCTCACCTGTTGAGATTATTCCAGATTTGTAAGGAGCAAACGACAAGGACAGAAGAAAAAAGAAAGGGTCAGATCCGGCCAGATGTAAAGGGTGATGAAGGGGGCTTGTGAAAGAAATTTGAGATGTAAAGGGTTAACTTAAAGTTTTCATTTTTAATTTAAGATTTAATGCAGTTTAAATTATCATTTTACTCTTTAAACGTTAGATTAAATGATCTTCTGTTAATTGAAGGGTGAGAATTGGACTGAATGAAACCAGGGGTGGAAACTGAAATTGCGCTAATCTTTGGGTGGGAACATGTCGTTTACTCTACTAGATTTTCAACTGTGGGTTTCCAAAATTATTATGAAATATGATTGTCTCTATCTTTGGTCATTTTCCATATTTAATACGAAAATATCTNGGTTGACGGCCAGATCTGGCCGTAGATCTGGCCTTTGCCGGCCAGATCCACCGTGGATCTGACCGAAAAAGACCATATCGGTGTATGATCGGCAAGATCCAGCCGGTCATGCGCCCATAATGTGACTTCGGCCACCTCCGGTGGTGGTGGCCGACTGGGGTTGTTTGAGGGTGGGTTAGAGGTATTTTTGTTAACTTTTAATGTTTTATTATAGGGGGTATTTTGTAAAAAAATAAATATATAGGGTATTTTATTAATTTATAAATCCTACATCGTAATACCCGTCTAATTCAACTTTTTTTTAACTTTTTTCAAAAAAAAATTTTCCAAAACCTTCAAATTTTGAACCAAACGGAGCCTACATTTTTATTTAAGATTTAATACAGTTTAAATTACTATTTTGTTTAAATAGATTAAATAAATTTTTTGTTAATTTCAGGGTGGGAATATGGAATAAATGAAACAGGGTGGGAACTTAGAATTTTGCTAATCTTTGGGTGGAAACATGTCGTTTACTCTTTCTTTTTTCAATGGACTTCAATTTTTGCTTTTAATGGATGGCTTCAACACTTTATATGATAGTGACTTGTTTGTTTAAAGATTAGTTATTTTGCCTGTAATTAATTTATGGACACATGCTTAAAAAAATAAAAATAAAAGTGTTTGTCCTTAATAAATATCCATCTTAACTAACACTATGTGGGATGATGCTAAAATTTAAAAGCGTAGATAAAGATTCTATAAGTTCTTGAGTTTGATTCTTTTAGACACTAATAAAAATATCCATTTGAGTTCTTACTCAATTAACAGTTTCAAAGCCTTGATAGATTAGTAGAGATTTATGGAAGCTTATCTGAATGCCCTGATGATAAAAAAAATAAAAAGATCCATTTTTGCATAATTTAGTAAGTAAACCCAAACCCCACCCCCTCATCATTTAAACTAACTGATTTTGTTACATCATATGTTTAAAAGTATAATTCTTCCTAAACTGAGGACATACATTTATATTTTTTGTTCTTCTTTATAAACATAATTCATATATCAAATTATTTTTCTTAATTTCAAAGGATATTGTCGAACTCCCAATATTATAGGGAAATTTACCAAAAATCAAAAGCTTATAAGTGTGAATATGAAATAGGGCCTACAAAATCAGAAAATTTAACCTGTAATGTCACAGAAAAAAAAAGATCCGAGTGGTCCCAAATAGAGACCAAGGGCCCACAAAAGTCGCGGGTGTGTCAGTGAGTCCAGGCTCAGGCTTAGGGTTAGGCACAGGTCCACATATTATTGGGGTTCAAGAATTTATGGAACAGACGGGACTAGTCGGCTCAATTCGCTGGAGTCCAACATCATAAATTCCAAATTCTCAGTACTACCCCACTAACCCAGTCTAGGATAGTAGGACGAGAGTTGAGAGAGAGAGAGAGAGAGAGAGAGAGATGTGTTGATCTTGAAAGTGTTTATTTGGCAATTTGAAATGAGCTGTCTCATCAAAGGAAGCATATCAAGAAATTCTTGTTCTTGAGGTGGTCCTGCTTCCTTTCATTTCTATTTGGGTTTTGTTTGACTTGACTGTGCATTTCAAATCTTCCTAATCTTCATTTTTGGCATTATCTTCAGCTTCAGTCTATATATTAGGCATAAAAACACTTGAAAACTGCAAGTCTGGCACGAATTTAATTTCATGAGCACGAACTCAGAATAATATATAGCAAGTAGTAAGAGGAAAACTATAAAGCTGTTTATTACAAATACAAGAGCAAAAATCTGAGATGCGAACCATGCAAGGAGAAGAGCTAGTTAATTAATTTATTTAAGAGTAGTATACTTCTTCGACATGCATGCATGGATGAGCATTAAGCTAGTGCAAATTCAAGAGACTTCTTTCCATCATGAACATTGCTGAAAAAATTGTTCATGTAATCCTGGAACACAAGCTCTTTAAAACCAATCCCCTCTCGCTCCACAAGCTGAGGCAGCGGCCCGATCTTCTCTGTTGGTCTTGGCATCGTAAAGATTGGGATCGACACTCTTGAATTGGTGCTTGTGGTACGCACTCTGTGTTCAGCACTTTTGTACCTTCCATTGCTTATTATCTAAAACCAGGCAAAAGAATTAGCTAATTTTATTATACATGAACTTACAGACTGCATTATGGCTATTCTATGACTTCTGTGACAGCAACTTGTAAATTTTGCCCTTCAACAAACTCTTCCAAAAGTTCAATTTTTTTTATATAGACGACCATGGATATGATTTTAGAAGCTTAATTGGAAATTGATCTAACCTGTAACGAATCGCCAACATTGATGACTAAAGCACCAGGTACTGGCGGAATCTCTACCCATTGTCCTTTATTTCCTGAATCAATGTCTTCTTCTACTTTTACATATAAACCTCCGATGCCATCTTGTAGCAAAACTGTTAGGATGCCAAGATCTGAGTGACGCCCCACGCCAACAGTAAGCTCCGGATTAGGGCATGTAGGATAGTAATTCATGTTCACCATCTTGGTCCCAATTATAGCATCAATTTTTGAGTCATCTAGAGTAACTCCAAGATTCTTAAACAAAGCTTCAAGCAGTTTTCTTACCATCTTGATTGATGTTCTCAAATAATCCAGTGCCACTTTCCTACAAAATTTAAAAAAAAAATAAAAATAAAAAATTGTTCTTTAGCCAATTAAGAAATATGCAAAATTCAAGTAAAAACTATAAGGAGGAGATCTTACTTGCATTCCTGAGGCCACTGTTCAAGGGCCTCAGCATCGTTGGTATATATCATGCTAAGATAGTCCTTCCACTCCAAGGCTTTCTCCTTCTCAGGCACAAAGCTTGTGCCATAATTCACCAACGGGCTTGGACTCACTCCTTTGCAATAAACAGCCTTCTTTTCAGGCAATTGGCCGAAGAAAGTGTGCGCAGCTTCCTTAAGTGACTCCAGCAACTCAATGGGCACGCCATGGTTCACTACTTGGAAGAATCCAAGAGTCTCAGCGGCTCTAGCGATTTCCTCCACCACTCGCTCGTGCTCAGGTCCGTCGAGCTTCGACAAGTCAATAGGTGGCTGAGCGTATGTGCGTGCAGTTTGTTTGTCAATCCGCTCTTGTGGTGGTTGAATGTAAGGCTCTGGTACCTTTGATAGGCCTAAGTCAACCATGCCCTTCACGCCGTTGCCATTTTTAACCACAAAGTTGAAAAGTGACGCACAATCGTTCAAACTTGGAGCCATTAATTGTTTTGAATTTTTGTGAAATGCGAACTGCAAAAGTGAGTGGGAATTTTGCGCTATGAATCATACGATTGCATTTGCCCATGGTACCTATAAATACTAAAGCTGCAAATTGACTTTCATGAATGAATATAATTTTTCAATGCCAACCCAAGTACACTTTGGGGGCAAGAGGCAGGGCTTTTAAGAAGGATAAAAGATTAAAACGAAGTTAAAATATTGCCTGATCCTTTGAATATTCTTATGCACATATGAAATTGTCTTCTTAATGCCAAACTACCACACACTATTGAAGATTGAGAATGAATGATGGAGACTTGTTACCTAACACTACTTGCAACTATTGATCATATTTTAAGATAACTAAGTTGTTAGAGCACGAAAAAGGGCATTCAATTAATTAATTAGGCTTTCTATTAATCCGAGTTAGAGATCTGATAAGGGCATGAACCGAGACAATATATGCTTTCAACTCAAAAGTCCTTTTCACGATGTCAAATTAACTGAAATTTGTCCATATCTATATCTGTAGGAACTGAAAGAAGTTGGTCATCTTATATTATAATCTTTTGACACTATTCTTTTTCAGCTTTCAATTTGGTTGAGAAACTGAACCAATTGTTTGTTGTCTCAATAAGCTACTTAATTTAATTTCACCCATCAGTAACACCTATAGCTTTGGTTAATTTCCTTAACTTCCATATCTAAGTGTAAGATTAAAGAATCTTAAAATTTTCAACTAAAATTATTTGCTGTCGTGCATAGTGGATCTATCATACACATTGGCACACACACATACTGTGTAAAAATATATGTAACCCGTTTGACATGGAGCTGGCTGGCCATTAATCAGTGTCACAGTTTATTAATATTGCATATTATGCACGAGCACGGACAAAAATCAGAACTCCTATTAGTGTAAGTCGTGAAATAGAACCATCAATATTCAAAAAAATTTAACATATTTGTTAGATTTCTAGGGTAATCCTAAATTAGCAGTGAAACGTACATCAACTCAGCAATTAGAGATATAACAAATGAAGATAAAGAATGAATCAAGCAAAATCAAGACGCAAAAATTATAGCGGTTCGGCTTTGCAGCCTACATCCACTCTCCAAGGCTCACAATAGGGCATTCCATTATCAATCAAGATAGTACAGAGAAAAGATCAGATCAGAACATGAAAGATTTCAATAAGGAAAGAACACACCGAAATCTGAAAACCGTAGGTTTTCTTCAATATGAAATCTTCCATTTCCTTCAGCATCAGCATGTGTTAAATACACATGCTCCCTTCCTAGATCGTCATCCACCTGTCTTTGATTCCTCCATATCCGTAAGATGAAATCGATTCTGAAACTTTCTTAGGGTTAAGAGCTGTCGAACCAAAACAAAAAAGAGAGAGATGAAGTCCGCGTAAAAGTGTGATAGCCTAACAGATAACTCATTATGTTTGGCCAAAATGACGTCGTAGCATGTGTTTGACTTTTAACAAAGAAAGCTGACTTCCACTGTGGCAAATAAGAAGCCACATCATCACAATTCTCCACCTTGGCTTCTTGATTTGTCATCCCATGTGGCCTTGGAAATTCATAAGTTCACTCTAGAACTTGAAGGAGGCTCATACAAAGCCTATGTTTTTCAAATGGAACGGGTTTTGTGAACATATCAGCAGGATTACGAGAACCATCAATTTTTTCAATCTCGATTTCTCCTCTTTTAATCATTTCCCTAATGAATTAAAGACGAACATCTATGTGTTTAGTTCTTTCATGGTATACTTGGTTTTTGTAGAGGTGAATTGCACTCTGGCTATCACTGTTAATCTTCACTGTTTGTTGCTCAATACCCAGCTCATTTATCAATCCTTTCAACCAGGTAGCTTCCTTTGCTGCCTCAGTTAATGCTACATATTCTGACTCTGTTGAAGACAAGGTAACCATATGTTGCAGCTTGGATTTCCAACTGACAATATTTCCCCACAAAGTGAAAACAAATCCAGTTGCAGACTTCCTTCTGTCTATATCTCCTGTATAATCTACATCACAAAAACCCTTAACACAATCATCATATCTCTGTTTTTCCTTAAAAACAATGCTTGCTGATCTTGTTCCCTATAAATATCTCATAATCCATTTAAGAGCCATCTAGTGAGTCTTTCTTGGATTGCTCATAAATCTGCTTACCAAACTTACAGGGAAGCCTAAGTCTGGTCTTGAACACACCATCAAGTACATTAAGCTTCCTAATGCACTCGCATAAGGAATTTCTGCCATTTCCAGTTTCTCTTTTTCAGTATGTGGACTTTGCTCATGTGAAAGTTTCAGGTGAGCACCGAGAGGAGTCTGAACAAATTTAGCATCTTGCATATTGAATTTCTTTAGGATTTTCTCAGTATAGTCCTGCTGTACTAACTTCAAACTTCCAGAAGTTCTATTTCTGATAATAGAAACACCAAGAATTTTCTGAGCTTGACCCAACTCTTTCATTTCAAACTTGGTGTTCAGTAACCTTTGCAATCGACACAGCTCAGATTTATCATGGTATACCACAAGCGTATCATCCACATACAATAATAAAAAAATGTGAGTCAGTTCAGAGATTCTTTTAAAATAAAACCAGTTGTCAAAATTGCATCTATTAAACCCTATTTATATCATTAAAGAATCAAATTTCTTATACCACTGTCGTGGTGACTGTTTCAAACCATATAATGATTTTTTTAATAGACAGACTTTACCTGCAGCATTGTTGTATCCTTCAGGTTGCTCCATTAAGATGCTTTCTTCCAAATCCCCATGCAAGAAAGTTTCTTCACATCGAGTTGTTCTAATTCCAGGTTGAATTGAACTACAAGAGAGATCAGTACCCTGATGGATGTATGTTTGACCACTGGTTAAAAGATTTCATTATAGTCAACCCCTTTTACTTGTGTGAACCCCTTTGCAACTAACCTAGTCTTGTACCTAGGTGTATCCTGAGTTGTTAAACCTGGTTTCCTTTTGAAAATCCATTTGCATTTTACCACTCTACAATTTTCTGGTTTATCAACCAAGATCCATGTATTATTCTTCATTAGAGAATCAAATTCTTCTTCAATGGCTTTCTTCCATTCCAACTTTTTAGATCCTGAAACTGCTTCTTGGAATGTATTAGGTTCATCATTCATCTCTCCCTCCACCTGAAGTGCATATGCAACCAGGTCTGCATATCCTAGTCTGTTGGGAGGTTTGATTGTTCTCCTAATTCTATCTCTTGATAATTGATAATCTGTCAAGTTTGATGTATCTACACTTGGAGTATTCTGACCTACTTCATGATTAGCAATTGGTTCATCCTCATGAGTATTTAATTCCTCAACTCCACCTTGATTCAAACTTGAACTGAAACTGGAGTCCTTCACTTCTAGTTCTAGGTGTTCTACTCCTAGATAGAAATTCTCAGATTCATCAGGTTTACCTCCTAAACCAGGTAGGATATTTTCTCTGAAGATGACATCTCTACTCACAATACATTTCTTAGATTCTAAATTCTAGAACTTATAGCCTTTAACCCCATCTGGATATCCTAAGAAAATGCATTTAATGGCTCTAGGTTTTAACTTTTCATCCTTTATATGAGCATAAGCTAGGCACCCAAACACTCTAAGGTTTTTCAAGTTTACAGGGTGACCAGTCCATCTTTCCAGTGGAACCCTAAAACCTATAGCTGAAGAAGGTGTTCTATTTATCAAGTAGACTACAGTATAGGCTGCTTCTGCCCAGAACTTAACTGGAAGTTTAGAGCATGACAGAATGCTTCTTACCTTTTCTAGAATAGTTCTATTTATCCTTTCACAGACACCATTCTGTTATGGAGTGTGTCTCATTGTCTTATGTCTAACTATCCCATTGACTCTACAGTAGTTATTGAACTCCTCATTAACAAATTCCAAACCATTATCAATTCTTAACTTCTGCAGTTTCTTTCCACTTTGATTTTTAACCATGGTTTTCCATTCCCTAAATCTAGGAAAAGCTTTATCCTTGGTTTTAAGAAAATAAATCCAAACATACCTAGAGTAGTCATCTACAAGACTCATAAAGTATCTACATTCTCCAAGAGAATAATGCCTAGTTGGTCCCCATATATCAGAATGCACTACTCAAGTGGTGAGCTTGAGTAGTGTTGTCCAGTCCCAAATTTTAATCTGCTCATTTTTCCAAATAGACAGTGTTCACAAAAATTCAGGTTCCCTGTTTTATCCCCACACAGTAGGTTTTGTTTACTAAGTTCTCCTAAACCTTTTTTACTGACATGAGCAAGTCTTTGGTGCCATAAGGTAGTTTTATCTAGCTCCTCAGTTGACCCAATATTAGCCACTTCACTATCAATCCTACCTTTTAACACATACATACCATTTCTTTTTTCAACCTTCATAATAACCAAAGACCCTTTCAAAACACTAAGACTCCCATTAGCAGCCTTATAACTTAGACCTATAGAGTCTAAGAGAGATAAGATTTCTTTTGAGGTCAGGGATATACTTAACATCAATAAGGGTCTTAGTTAATCCACTATGGAGATTCAGCTTAACAGATCCTATTCCCTTAATATGACAGACAACATTATTTCCCATCATCACTTTCCCACCATCTAAGGGTTGAAACGAGCTAAACCACTCTCTATTAGGTGTCATATGATAGGTGCAACCAGTGTCTAAAATCCACTCATCGCTAGTCTTGCCTTCTGAAATAATTAGGACCTCTGAACTCTCATAACCCTCTAACACTACCCCTGCACTACCTCCATCATCCTCTTCTCATATTTCTTTTTCTTTCTCTCAAGACAGTCTTTCCTAAGGTGGCCCTCCTTATGACAGAAGAAACACTTCCATTTTCCAGTTTTAGATTTGGACCTATGACTATTCTACCCTCCCTTTTTCTAGTTCTTCTTCTCAGATCTTCCTCTGACTATAAGACCCTCACCATCACTCACATTTCTTTCCCTAATCCTATTTTCAATGTCCTTAGCTGAGATAGCTTCTACTACTTCTTCTAACTTCAGAGTC